CAAAACAGGAGTAAATCTTGTCACCACTGGATTCTGAAGAGCTGTCATTTAGAAAAGAACTGATGATAAAGACGCTTCAGGCTATTACTGAGCACCTTTCACAAAAAAAAAAAAAAAAAAAAAAACAACAAAAAACAAACCTCCGGAAGTCCTGGCAACCAACACACTTTTATCACAGCAAGAAACTGTTTCATCAGAAGTAAAACCCTGAAAATTGAAGTGAACATCGTACTTGACTGCTCTTTCTACACAGCAGCCTGTGTGGCAGTAGTATTTTTTTATTAAATTTATGTATAAAAACTTCATGAAAGGAAAAGGGCTTAAACATAATGCATAGCTATGCATTATTTTCTGTTGTAACAGAACTACAAATGATGTTTGCAGCAACAGCCTCTACAGGTTGGATCAATATTGCAGGTGGGATGAGGCTAAAATCAAGGCTGGTTTATTTTGGCTGAAGACCTGCAAGGCTTCCTGGCTTTCCAGCAGTAGTAGATAAAACCATCAACTAACACCTAAGGAGACACTTTGCAACATCATGAAGAATGTGCAGTCAAACACGAGTAGAATGACATACGACTGCAAAAACCATTGACTTCTCACTTTTTATTTGCTTTTGTTGTCTGTAATAAGGAAATAATGTGTGTGAGTTAGAATGTATGGCTATGTGACAGTTGTTTTTTGAAGGTATGGATGATTGTTAAATAAGGTCTCAGAGCATGCTTAAAAGAGCTGCAAGATTATTTTTGAAGAAATTTTATTTTATTAGATCTAATCCTCATAGTGTGTAAATGTTAGGACATTTAATAATATTTTAAACTGGGATGTCCCAGTGTTTCTAAAAGAAATAATATATCTGTTAACTTTATTGGAATGCTGCTCAGTTCTCTGACCAGTGCTTATGTTACAAATATTGATAACAACTAACCAAAAAGTAGCTGCCTGCAGAGACTTTAAAATGTATATTAAAGATATATGCTGCCCATCAGCAATTCTCATTAGAAGTTAACTTATTTTATTCTGTATATATTCTAGAAACTGTATAGTGCAAAACCAGTATTTTTCGTGTAAATTTGTGCAATGCACTGTTAAAACAGTAGGTGTATAAAGCTATGAGGAAAAGGGGGCATTCCCTCTTGGTAGTCACATGCAGTACTTGCAGTCTGAGTAGCCTGCAGGGTTTGAAGAGTTTGAATGCATGTATATGCATCTTCATGACTCAACTGAAGCCTAAGGAATTGGGACTATAGAGAAAAAAAAAAAAAAAAAACCCACACCTGATTACCAAAACATGCAAACAGGCAATATACTCATAGTTCAGTGTCAAAGTCTGTAGCATAAAACAAACTGGATTCTGTTGAAACCAACAGCATTTTGTAGGGAAAAAAACAAACAAACAAACAAACAAAAAAAAAAAACAGAAAAAAAGAATGTAGTCCCACAATTCCTGTAATTTGAAAGGAACACCCAGTATTTTTATATACATCTCTTACCCACTGTGATTTTTTTAATGGGCTCTAATTCCAGAGTTTAGAATGTAGAATTGAAATTCTTAGCTCTGCCTTTTTGGGGGAATTAGGCCCCACTAGAAATGTAATTATGCTGAAATGCATTAATTGAAGGCACTGTGCACGCTGTTGGACTGCTGACAGTAGTTATGTTATCCTAACAAGTTCTGTAACTGGTCAAGGCACATTCATATTCACTGTATTTTTTTTCCCTGTCCCTGATAAAATTGAATTATTTTGATGGTTTTGTGGTACTGTAGATGGTGTTCTTAATTATTTAACTAGTATTTACAGGGGATAGGTGGTTTTATTTAGGGGCGCATTACACTTTTATTTACATCATCTTTTACCAGCTTTTTTTGTAAAAATAAAAAACATTGTATCTCTTAGTTTGTGTATTTTTACAAACTAGAGGTTAAATACTTTAGCTAAACGGACTAAACACTGCCTGGGTGCCCTAAAGTAATTTTTCTCCTTTTAGGTCCTGCCATTGCAGCAGCATTTTTCTAGGCATCTTCTGAAGCTGTTAATGGATTTCTCATGAACTCAAACCTGAATTCATTTATGTAATTCCTTATGTTACACATCTTCCTCTGCTCCATTTATAATGACTAGTGGAACCTGCCCTATGGAGCAGAATCATGTTAGCTGACTGTCTTTTGATATTGCTTTAATTTCAAAAATTACTCAACTACTGCATGACCCTGCATTACGTGGTACCAGGTCTGTGCTGAATCCAAAGCTGTGGTAAATCCATCTAGAAACAAGCAAAACATCAGACATCTCCTGTAAGATGCAGCAAATATAGCACTGAGACTGAGCTAGCATGTGCAAAAAAATCTTGTTATGAAAAATCTGTACAGAGCAAGTTCAGGGTAGCTTTGAAGAACCGGCACCATGAAGGCTGTTCCACTTGGCATAATTGCAATAGGTCAGGAGTAACTTTCCTTCTTCCTCCTGATTCTAGGAATCAGTGCCCACAATCAGTGCATCATGGACATGACAATAAAGCTGAAAAGCAACTAGAAAGTACAGAGTTGTACTTGACATAAAGCAGTAAAAGCACTGAACATGTTTATGTAAGAGGGATGACATGTAGAGCTACTCTGGAACTGAAGAATGCTGCAGGATTAAGGAAAGTTTGTTTCATATGGCTGCCCACTGCACTGTACTCCAAGCCTTGCAATAGCTGATAAAAGTATGGGTGGCCTCCTTGCTGCTACCTGCCATGTGGAGCCTTCATCAGCTGCTGGTGAAGCACAGCACCCAGTTCACATCAGCTAAGCCTGTTCTACATCTTACCATGCAGAACCAGCTGCTGCTTTGACTGTAGTTAGTGGGGACAACAGCCTTTAAGTTGTAGTAGATGTCACTGATAATCACATAAGAGTCACCATATTCACAGCCAGTAATCCTCAAAGCAATGTTTTGTGAGGATAAATAGGAAGCATTCAGCTGCTTATATTGCCATGAGTTCATACTGACATGGCACAGAGCTGCAATTCTCTGACTCATTACCGAGGTGCACAGACTCATCACAGTTAGTTTCTCAATGAATGCATCAGGAACAGACTACAGCTACTAGAATGGGGAAGGCAAACAGGAAAACACTGAAGAACATCCTTGGAGGAGAATATGCTCAGAAATAAAGACACCCCAGATCACAGCTGCAACTGCAAACTGAGGCAGTGGGGCCAGGTGGCTGCAGAGGGCCCCAGGTGCATTCCTCAAGCTGGAGGCTTGCCACTGCTCATCACAGTACAGCTGAGTACAAGGCACACGTATCTACAACAGAACATTGCCCAGCTGTGGGGAAATTGAATAGTGCTAGGGTGGAGCTTGCTGTGAAAGTTTGCATGAGCTGGTAAAGCAAGGGATATTTCCTTTCACTGTGATAACGTGGAAAAAACACTTCAGGTAGAAGCATGAAATAGAATTGTGCTCTGCTCTGGAGGGAGTTGGTCTTCTTGTTCCCAGAATGCCTCACACTGCTATAATAATGAATCCAGCAAGAATAAATAAAATTACTTGGCACTAAATTGACACTGAGGCATTAAGCCTACTGCAGCAGGTTTAAGGGGCATATTGAAATAAGGCAGGAATTTACAGCAAGATGAGTTAAGCATATAGTATTAACACTCGCTGCCCCTCAGACACGTTGATACAGAGACTATTGTTTGCCACACACTGGCTTCCACTTAGATACAAGACCACCTGTCACTGAAGCTGTTCTACAGCATGGGTTCAGACTGGTTCTCCCTTTAGCCTTTAATAGGCTGGTCTCTCAAGCTGGGTACAGGTGTAGATAAGTTTGCTGTAGCAAATATAAAAAAAATCACTGTTTTCAAAGAGAAGCTACCTCGAGTTCTGCAAAAGGCTTGGTGACTATGCTCAATTTAAACATTAACAGTGCCAGTAGCATTCTCAGAAAACTAGGTTTTCATTTGTGTTTGCCCAGCTCCATAGCTAAAAGGCAGACTGGGGCAGTGGGGTAGGTTCTACTAGCTTGAGAATCTGCTCAGATGGTGATGCTGCAAGTTAGTCATGGGGTCAGCATGTAACACTTGGCATGGTGTTCCTATACTGGACACCACCACTGAGAGCACCAATAGCCCACAGAAAGCATCATCTGCAAGTAACCAGTGCTGGTTCTGCCATTACTACAAACACTACAAGTCCAATTCCTAGCTGCAAACCCAACCCCGGAGGCATGTTCAATCCTTCTGATGGCAGGCATTTAAACTGCAATTAGATCAAACTTTTAAGTATAATTCACTAAGTGCACAGCTCTTGCACTTCACGTGCAGATTGAAAAGGAAGCCAAACAGATGCAGTATTATTGTACCTTGCTCCTCTGAAGTGTCCCTTCTCTCCATAATCTTGTGCAAGTAAGATGAGCAACACATTTACCAAGAGACCATCACCATAACATCAGTGACTCCATTCCTCAACATTTTTTGAGAACTGTCCCTGAAAAGCTTCCTTTTTCTTTTGCCTAAAGGCAAGAACACCAACTTAGCTAAATGCAGACCAGCTGCACCAGTAGAAGTGATTCAGTACTTACACAGCACTTCTCAATTTTCTAGTGATGAAAAACAGGTGCAGGATACCATGTACATCGAATAGAAGTATGCAAAATAAGTGAATACTACTGGTGTTTTGTTTATGAAGGATGGTCTACTACCTACTGCAGATGTGAATTTGATGTTAACTTCAAGCATTTGATTAGTGCAAGAGCAGTAACAGAAACCCTTTCCAACTGAGAGTCTATGAAGTCCTGAGTCTAGGACCTCTAGGCTTGTTGCCTATGCAGTTTACTATATGCACCCTCTGAGCTGGGTATAAACCCACCTGATCATTTGAGCATGCTTTGCAATATTTTTATTTTTGTGCTTTCCTAGCTACATCTCACCAAGTACCTTCAACAATACCAACAAAAACAAAGAAAAAAAAAATCTGCTCTACTTGCAGTTTTCTTGAAGAGCCCTAAACAAAAAAAAAAAAAAATCCTCATTCCATTCAGATGATGTATTTGAAACTGAACGTGCTATCGCAGGAGAGGCGTTTTCCTTTGCATCTTCCACAGAGGTCCTGGCGGTGAGGCCTCTTGGGATCCACGTGGCGCATCTTCACGGGGCAGGTGCAGCGCGTCTGCTTGCAGCTCTGAGGGAGAAGGCGGCGGTCGGCGGGAGCGGCCTGGCCCAGGAATGGCCGGGCTCAGGGCAAGGCGAGAGTGCCTTACCTGGCAAGTGATGTCCTCCACGCGGTACGGGTTGTAGGACTTCTGGCAGGTCCGGCAGAACTGACGGAAATAGACCTGCGGGGAAGGCCAGGGTCAGCGGGGGGCGGCGGCGAGGAGCCCTCGCCGGGGCCATTCGAGCCGGCCCTTACCTTGTTGGTGCCCTGGACGCACCAGACGTAGGCACTCTCCCAGCGGATGTTGCAGGCCTTGCAGTGGTAGTACCCGTACTTCTGCTCCAGGAACTGCCGGGGACAACGTTATTCGACGGTGCGGGCGCCTTCCGGCCCCGCTCTGCTTCCCCGCGGCCGACACTCACCTGGAAGCGCAGTCGGGTCTTGCCTGCCGATGACTGCCGCTTCTGGGGTGAGGCCGGCGGCTCTGCCGGCTTCGCCTCGGCTGGCTCTGCTGGCTGGGTTGGCGGCTCTGCCGGCTTTGCCTCGACTAGCTCTGCTGGCTGGGCTGGCGGCTCTGCCGGCTTCGCCTCGGCTAGCTCCTCCACCGGCTGAGCCGGCGGCTCTGCTGACTTCGCCTCGACTGGCTCCTCTGCCGGCTTTACCTCGGCTGGCTCTGTCACCTCCTCCTGGCTTGCCTCCGTCGCCGGCTCCCGAGGGGCGGCCGAACGCTGCTCGAGTGGCTCGGCCGGGCGCTGCCCCAGGGGATCAGTGCCACCCTCGGAGGGTTTCTCCCAGCTCGCCCGCACGGCAGCCGCCTCCGCCGCCCGCTGCTCCCGCAGAGCGGCCGGCTCCTCCTCGACGGCCGCTGCCTTGTCCTGCTGTTGCGGCCGCCGCTCCAGCTCCGGGCTCGGCTCCTCCAGGAAGGCGGTGAGTCTGCGGGACGCCACGGGCGAGTAGACGGCGATGGTGCGGGGGAAGCGCACGGCGCGGGTGCTGGTGGTGGCCGGACTGCCCAGCTCCTGCTCCGCCTCACGGGGCCGCGGCGCGGCGGGGCCGGGGCGGCGGCGCAGCAGCGTGCGGGGCCCGAGCGAACACTGCACCGAGGCGTCCTGCCGCGGGTTCACCTGCACGCCCACCTCCTTGGTGTTGGCCTTGCGGAGCCGTGGTGTCAGGTTGGGGTTGACCTGGGAGAGGATGGCCTTCAACTGCGCCCGCTGGTAGTTATCGAAGTATTCGGCGGCCGCCTCCCCGTAGCCCGAGAAGTAGCTGCTGCCCCGCGGCCGCCAGCTGCCTGCCGACCCTCCTTTGCCCTTGGGCGGTGGGTAGCGGTAGGAATAGGGGTGGTAGGTGGTGTAGAGATAGCTCGCCATCGCCTCCTCGGCCATTTCACCGGACCCGGGGCAAACCCCCGGGAGGTGGCCTTAAATATCCCCGGGGCGGGGCTGGGCTTCCCTCGCCCCTGACGAGCGCCGGCCTTGCGGCCCCTTCCCATCCCCACCAGGTGCGCGGCCTTGAGCCATCCCCCACCCCCTCACAGCTCCCCAGCTGAACCAGGCAGCGCGGCTCTTAATTGCCTCCAAAGGAGTAAACAGCGGAGAACACGAGTTTGGTTTGGCTTGGCTTCGCCATGTATTTGTGGTGACAACAATGAGAACAATGCTTTGACAGTAGGTGGGAGGCACAGAGATACACACTCGACGTGGTTTTTCCTGTCGTCTGAACTGACACTGATTTGGCATTGACTCTGTAGAACAGTCTTTCTTCCTTCTACCCATTCCTGCTGCACTCAGCTAGGCAGCAGCCTCCTTGCATGAAGTTTTACAGTTACTGGTTTGTGTTGCAGTGATGCTTTTTCTTTTTTCTTTTTTTTTTCTTTTTTTTTTTTTTTCACTCTTACGTTTGAGGAAGTAGAACTGTCACGGTAATAAACACATATCACCTTGTACAATGGGAGTAGCTGGAGAAACGATAGAGGCTGGGCAGCTCCGCTTGCACAGCAGCGAGCACAGCCCCAGCCTGTTGCAAGCACAACACACATTCATGTCTCGGGGAGTTGCCTCTTTCTCCTGCCTAAAGCGCCGTCTGAGTCGGCTCCATCTGAATGGAGTTGTGCTCCTCTGTGGTCACTGTGCCATATGAAGTATCAGCTACCTCCTCTTCCTTCAGTTTCTTGTAGGAAATATCTGTGTCTTCCTCTTCACCAAGTGTATCTTGCTTGTAGCTGTCTGCCAGCACAAACAGTCCTGCTTCTGCTGACTGAAAAAGCGCATATAGCAAGGGAAACATGTACATGCTCCCTATGATCTCCGGGGAGAAGGTGAGTTTTAGGATGGCGGTGCAGAGCTGGACGTTTTGGCACCCTGTTTCCAAAGATACTGTTCTCCTGCAGTGTGGGGGCATTTTAAAGACCGTGGCCAAGCCATATCCCAAGGCATACCCTGCCAGAGGCATCAGCACTGCAATGGCGTAGACAGATGCAGGAATCTGTGCCAACAGATCTGGGCCCAGCATAGTCCCAGTCAGGATGAACAGGACCACCAGAGTCACCAAGAGAGACCACAGGGAAATCTGGCAACAGATACAGACATTGATAAACAACGCGAGGGCTATTATTTTGAAAGGATAAGCATAGCAGGTAGAGAGTTGTTAAAGAGTCTAAATGGCAAAGCATGGTTGCACTGCCCTTCCCAGGTTTGCTCCTGGCCTGGAATTTTTGTGATGTTTGATCATATCCGAGGAAAGGAACGGGCTGAGGTCACCCTCCATCATTTTGCTTTGGGATGACTTGCTGGGAAACAGGCAAGTTGTGCCTCACTCTTCCTTTCTCAGTTAAGCCAATTTAATTGCATATTTTAAGGAAGCGTGGCTGTGCCTGCAGGTTGGTTTTGCCTGACCCAGGGTGCAGCAAGAGTGGGGAGAAAGCAGGATGTCATGGAATGCCTCTGCTACAGGGTCCAGGATGCCTCCCAGGGTGCAGCATCACGCTGCCCTCCTCCCTATGTGCTGCGGTAGGGGATAACCCGCCCTTTCGCTTGCTTTCTCTGTCCTACCGTTTTATTTCAAGATTGTAAGTATTTGTATTCCACCTAAGTAGATGAATATACCTGTGTGAGACTAACACCGGGTTGGAGGGACCAGAAAGCTTAGTGCCGTCGGCTCCCAGTCTCCGGTGCCTCCCCCGGGCATCCCCCGCGGCGTGGCCGCCCTCCTCCCCTCCGGGCGCCGTGCCTACCTTGACCAGGAGGTCGGCGGCGCGGGGGTGCCGGTAGCGGATGAGCACCCCCAGGCCAATGGGCAGCAGGGTGCTGCCCAGCGTCAGGCTTACCGCCCCCAGGGGCAGCAGCTGCACCACGGCCGTGTTGATCCAGTGGCGGCTGTAGATCCAGAGGCAGAGGGGCATCAGGAAGAGGGCCAGCAGAGTGGAGGAGGCCGTCATGATAATGCTGCTCCGGGGGAACCAAAAAAATGCTCCATCACAGCGCGCCCGGCCGGGATACAGCCCCGGGAAGCCCTAACCCCTGCTAGAAGTGGGTTCTGTAGCCGGCCGGGCACTTCTCAAGGCAAGAGATCGCTCGCTGTCCTTTCTCCCCTCTCCATCCTCCACCCCCTTCCCTGCTCCGGCCAGGGAGCGGGCACGCAAGCTTTCTGGGGAAGGAGGCATATGTAGGGGCTCATGTAAGATCCTCCACGGCAGAGGCAGGAGAGTAGTGCCGGCGATTCCCAGCGCCGTATCAGCCCGTCCGACCTTCCCGGCCCCACCGGCGGCAGGTGCCCAGCGAATCCTCTCCCCGTCCCGGGGCCGCCGCAGCCCCCCGGCCGGCTGAGGGCGAGGGCCAGGGGGGACCTACCTCAGATTCATATCCCCGTCGACGAGCACCGACATGAGGTTGGAGAGGTTGCCGCCGGGGCAGCAGCCGCATAGCAGTACAGCCACGGCCGCCACCTCGTCCAGGGCGAAGATGACAGCGAGGAGGAAGGCCACCAGTGGCATGGCCACGAATTGTCCCAGCAGCGCCAGCAGCAGCCCTACGGGCCGCCGGAGCTGCTGCCCCAGCTGCCCCAACTCCACGGCGCAGCCCAGCCCCAGCATGGTCACGCAGAGCCCCAGCCCCACCAGCACGCTCAGGCCCTGGCTGAGGGAGCGGTCCCCGAAGGTCTCACCATCCCCCGCCAGCGACCCGCCGTCGGGGCCGCCGCCCCCCGCCGCCGCCGGGGGCTGCGCGGAGCTGGCCATGGGCTGCGCGGTCCCGGGGAGCTGCCGGCTCCCCGCCAAGGCCCGGAGAGATCGCGGGCGGCGGGGCGGCCGTCAGTGCGGGACGCGGGGAGGGCTCGTCCCGGCGGGCGGCGGAGCCCGCATCCCTCCCTGGCTCCGCTCGGATCTCCGGGCGCTGCTGACGCGCCGCGGCCGCGGTCCCTGGCTGCCTGTCTGCTGCGGGCGCCGCCCGCGCGTCCCCGGACCCACGCGGGGCCACCCCCGGCGTGGGCGGTGTCTCGCCTCGACGGCGGTCAGCGGCGGCCGCCAGCGCCGCCCGGCCCCTGCGGGGGGAAACGCAGGCGGCGGCGAGCTCGGGGCCGCATCCCCCTCCGGTGCGACCCCCGGCAGCCTCTTCTGGAGCCAGCAGGGCCCGAGCTTTCTAGCGGTGAGCCTGAGGTATCACAGGATTTACTTTGGCGTCGGCATTACAAAAAGGTCAATTGGCGACGCGATGTGGGTGGGCAGCACTAGACCCCTCTGCTGAGGGATTGCCAAACTCGTTCCTCCTCCAGGCAAGTTGCTTTTGATGTGAAGGTTTTGGAATGTGTGAGGAAGGATGGAAAGCCCTTTTATGAGGTCGAGGAGGCACCACTTTCTGCTGGTGAGGACCCAGAAACTTGTCAGGAGAGGTGATACCTTTTAAAGGGTAGACAGTACACGTGAAGGAAACAGGCAAGCTCACAGGCACACAAATATTCAAACCAGGGTAAGACATTTAGTCTGTCACCCAAAAATCACATCCAAGGGCGATTAAACTGTTTTCAGTCATAAAATTGTACTTACAAGATTTACTTTTCATTGAATTATTGTGTGTCACCCTGTTCCTTTAGAAGTGCTGTATAGAATGCCCAACTAGACTCACAAGGGCAGGAGTACTTGAGAGAGAAGGGCAGCTTCCAAGGGCAGGAGATACGTCAGTGACTCTCACTCTTGGCACTACTATTGGCCTCGTCTTAGGTATGTAACTCGTTCCCTTGTTCACCCACAGGGTTTAGAGGGGTCACAGCCACCACTGCACATTGTCACTCCTGGGTGAGGGCAGCTGATTCAGGACAGAGCATCCCCAGGGGCTGCCCCTTGGCTTCTGCACTTCGTGTGTGGCTCTACTTCTGCATGGAGCATTTTGGGTCACAGCTGAAGGGGGACATACTGGATTTAATGGGACAGCCTACAGGAGCTGCCCTGATTGCTGCTTGCCTTAAGCTCCATCAAACAGCAAGTTTGGGAAAAATTTTAGGCTGTCACGGGTCTTGAGTAGAAGTTATTGATGGCTTGAAAGAAAGACAGACACTTTGCTTATTAAACCTTTGGTTCTTTCTTGGGGCACAGATGACACAAAAAATCCTGGGAACGCTACTTTGCCAAAATGATGCCAAGTTCAATACTCTTCTGTCTGTGTTTGTTTCCTTATCATTAGCCTAAGGAGAACTCAGGGAAGATGAGTCATCAGAGCTGAACAACCAAATAGGATCAGGATTGCTTTAGTTCATTCATATTTTTAGGCTCTAAAGGAGGGGAGCTCAGGATCTGGCAGGCATTTGGAGCCAACAGCATTCTCTCATTCTCTGGATTTAATTTTTGGTTTGCATATGCAGAAAAGTGCTTGCAGTGTATTTACTGTGCTTTATAAAGTCTTACCACTGCTATATCTTATTCCATCTGTCACATCTGTGCTTTGCTTCACAACGTGCATTTGCTTATCATACCCTCCCTGGTTTGTAAGAAATGCCTGGGTGGTTCCTTGTGGTGCGGCCAACCAGGGATCACTGTGGGCAGACTCAGGATGGATCCACTGTGCAAGCATAAGGTTTATTGAGCAGGTGGGAAGGGCGCAGCCAGACCTCCTGCTTTATCTCTGACTGTCACTCCCCAAACTCCTCACTGCAACAGGGCTGGTCACAGGAAGATATTTTTATATCATAATGTGTGGCACCTATGGTGCAGGCACTTAACAGGAGGAGTCCAGTATCCCTGTAAGCAGATGCAGGCTCTTTCAGAGCCCATCCACTCAACATAAACTTCAGTTTCAAGGGACACTGAACTATAGTGGGAAAATGTCACGAATGCCAACAATGAATGTCAACAAATCAAGACCTCTTGAGATTTAGTTATAAT